CCCAAAAATTTCTTTTTTCCAGGAAACAAACTTGCTGAATTCAGTCCAACAAATTAAGTCCCAAATACTTGTTTAAAAAAAAAAAAAAAACCACTAAATTCAATCATGAGAACATAAAATATAGCTGAGCACTTAAGAGGAAAGTTACTCTGTGAGTGATCTCATCTTAGGTTTATTAATTGACCTTCTGAATCCTCTGTATCAATCTTATTCTCACACTGATATCCAGCAGCTAACACTTCTGCAATAAACTACAAATTCTAACAATTAGGACGTGAAAAATATCCATATCTAAACAAATCAAATAAACCAAACACTGTAAATTTAAAGTTTTGAGTGATTGCCTCCAGTAAAAAGCAAGACAAGTCTAAATTGTTATTTGTTGCTCACAAGGAACAGATGAGTTTGCAGTGAGTCTGAAGTATTTGGAAACAGATTCCTGAAAAGTTAAGAACAAATCCCTCAAAATTGCAATCAATGATGTTATACTGGCAAGATAAACATGACTGAGGTAATTGATAACTATTTTGATAAAACAAAGAACTCAGTGCCCACTGAACTTTTAAATCTAAGATAAAAGTCCAAAATATTCCAGCCTAATCTCTAAAAATGGAAGTGTATTCACAAGAAAATACAAAACTATCATGTTCATACTCACCGGAACTTTACTTCCGACTATCTGCATGCAGTGGTCAGCCAAGAGAGGTTATTGTGTAAAAAAGATAATAATAATACATAAATAAACACAACAAGGTACTTAGTAGGATGTAGCATCACACAAAGTTTTCAGTGTTTAATCATTAGTAGTAGTTACATTATTTTATTACTTTATCAAACTGTTCAAGAGTTGCAGCTTCTCAACAGGAAAACAGTAGGAGAAATAATTCAAAATTCTTAAATTCTACTCCTGAATCATCAGTATTTTACACATTTACAAATAACTCCATACCTAGCTTGACATCTGGATCTTGAAAGATTAGCAGATATGCCATTTTGTTAAAATTATCAGGTCAGACATTTTACATATGACACTGAGAAAACTACAGAAAAAAACCTAATGGCATACTGACTTCCTTGTACGTTTAACAACTCTACTATGGAGCTTTTCATCTATTTAGATGATGTCATCACTGAATTTAATTAAGTTTTCGTAATCAAAAACATAGCCTACAGTTATAAATCTAACTCGCATCTCAGAAAATCTCATGTGGCATTTTTCTTCAAATGCTCAGTACGGATGCTTTTAATTACATGGATAATTAAACAGTGATTTACAGAAAGACATCATCTTTTTTTACCATTGAACAGCATTTCTGCATATTCATGAACAAGAAGTTGACTACACACAGCAGAAACTCTGTAAAAAGGCAGCACATGTCTGCACTGTTCCATGACTTTGCACAAATGACCACATTCCTGGCAACGCCAGGACTATGGACTTCTGCCTAAATACCGTAGGCCTTTCCGTGTTGGCTATTTGCTGCAATCTGATAGCAGCCAGTTTACTGAATAACCACTTTTATCTGATTAAGATCCTGAGACGGTATGATTTTGTTCTGAGATCTGCATTCGATGATATCTGTTCGGCCTCCACCTACTTCATTTTCTACTCTTATCTCTTCCATTATTCTTTTAGGAAGTCTTTGAGAAGACAGAAGTTCCTGCAAGTCTTTCAAAATCACCTCTCGTCTTCCTGATGAAGCTTCCTCTAGAAGCACAAGATGGACTGTCATCACCAGACAATCTCTGTCCCTAATTTACTACCTTCTCTCACCTATGTTCAACTCAATCAATAAGAGATGAGACATCATCAAGTTCAGTTCTGAAACAGAATTCTGAGCTATTGCCATTTCCCAAGTACAATTTCCAGTCTTTCTCTTGGCGTGAGAGAAGGAATCAGAAGCACAGATAATCACTTCACACGAAAGCGTCCAGCTTATTAGCTTCTATCCTTCCTCTGTCCCCCATGGAAAATGCAAGCTTTTTTTCATCCATTGAAACCAAAGTTACTTTCTTCTCACTCGAACTCTGAAGACAGTCTGGTGTTTCAGAAAAGCACGGTCAACATGCTGCAGACAGCACACAAGGCAGAGAAAATGAAGCACCAAATTTAAAAATAATTTGGTTAAGACAACATCAGCAAATGAGAGTGATTTTTTCAAGTGAGTGGAGAGAGCTCAAAAGCCTAACTAAAACAAACACAAAATGAACTGGAAAAGTCACAAACTGTTAAGTGTGTTTCATTAGCTCTAAGCAGAGGAAAAGGCCCAAGTATTTTCAGTATAAAAAAGGAAGACAGCTGAACAATTATCTACGACCAAAGAAAAATGTAGAAAATTTTAAGAAAGATCATTTTGAATGCGAGCAGCATTTTCATGGAAGACAAGCCTGAAGATGGCCTGAAGGAAAGAAACTTGGACGATTCATGATGCAGTAAAAATTGGTTAGAGCTTGAACTCAACTAGGCAGAACAGCAGTTTAACTAAACAGAAGACAAAATTAACAGTGAAAATGAGGTTCTGCTTTATTCTAAGAACCCAATCAACATTCTACAATTATCTGTACTTTTAATACTTTTTAAATCAGTTAAGATGTTAAATTCAAAGATAAATTAGATAACACACTACAGAAAGATCATTCATATTTCTGAACAATCTTAAACTATTCCATTCAAATGCTGTGATTCAATTGCAAGAAGGACTTACTGAAGCACACAAACTTGGATACAAGCCCTTTTTCCATTACGAAAAACATTCTGCGCATGTACGAAACATCCACACTGGGGCTGACTTACGTTCAAAGCGCACATTCCTGCATGAGGACATTTGGGGATCATTTTTTTTTACTTTATTGGTGCATTTTGGCAAACATATCCCCAGTCCTGTTAAGCTTCCCATGCTGCAGCACATACGGTAGCAGTAATGCAATGTTAAAATTTTCAGCAGTTAGACATGCAATGACAGCCATGCTTTTCCTACTCAGCTACAAAATCATGGTATTTGAGGCAGCTACATTTCAATATTGTTATGTACAAGAGATCATCATCGTCCAACTGCTTTTTGGGAAAGAACTGCAAGTACTTCCATTGTGAAAGTTTCTACTGCTTCAATAAAATATTTTGCTTACTAAGGAAAATTTAACATCGATCATCAAGTGAATGCAAAAACCTTACAACACATAATCAATAGCTCCCAAAGATAGTCTAGGCAAAGTACAGTAACATGAAATTTCGTAATATTCACTGCATAAGCTTGACTAATTCTCCAATAACTTGCATGATTAGCTAGACCATACACTGGATTCCTTCCAGGACAGAACAAAGGACTGTGGATTTTCTTTAAGATTAACTCATGCAGAAACACCACTCCTCTCAAAAACATAAATCACCATTTTCACATTATAATGCAAGTTTTTTCCTCACTTCAGGTTATAAAGTTTAACACAAAGTATTTACATTTAATAATTGCATGTCATTGTAGATTTAATTTTTTGAATTTTAACTCTGCAGAGCTGATTTTAAAGCTTAAAAGAAAAACAAACCAACTGTACTGCTTGCAGTCCATGCTTACCAATTCATCAGGCAGACACCAACATAAAGTTATTTGCCAGTTTATTTCACTAAGAAATAGATGATTATTTAATGGTATCTGTATTTAGCACTCAAACTCAGCTCTGTAGAACTGCTAGCAGTATTGCCATTACGTATTTTAACAATTATTCTACACATAGTCTTCATATCCAGTAACCTTTCATTGCACACAAGAACTTTGCCATGAGAAGATGAGATTCATCCTCATTTCCAAATAAAGTTATATGCATTACCTAATTTTATTGAAGAACTATGCTATAGCAAATTTTACCACTCGAAGCATACTGCTGCTCTGAGGATACACAGAGCTATCCGTCACCACTGCTTCTCCCCAGTACTGTAATACGTTCAGTTCCTCAGAATTCACCACCAGCTTCCTTAAAATTCTTTGTTCAACAACTAGTGGCGCAAATCAGGACAAAATCTACTTCTAGGGAAATCACGACAGATACCTATCTATCTGTTTCTTCCAACGTTCATGAATTTTTGTGGCATGTTCTCCTTTTATATGATAACTATATTTGCTATAATCAATTTTTAACATACAACAATTATTACTGTTTATTTTATAACTAATTAGCACTAATGGTCCCACTACTATTCATCCCACTGCAGAAAAAAACCTGTAGCTCTTCACTATTTGAATTATTTCTCCACTCCAACAAATGTTGGGGCATCCAGTGGTTCTCATACCTCTGGCACCTTGAAGCAGACAGACTTCAAAAATTCTGCATTAAGGATCCATCAACTAAGGGTTAATCAACTTAAGTACAGAGAATACTCAACACAAGTGAAAGATATTTTTTTTTCTACTCAAAATACAATTTGAAAGTCGTTTTAAGACCATCTTTTCACTAAAGGAATCATTTTATTTACCTTCAGAACATTTCTCAGCAGAACATTTAATGCAGTCTTCAAGCCAGCTACAGTACTCAACATATTCAAATTAAACTAAAATACTCACTTTACTTCAATTTTAAATACTTTCAATATTTTTATTCCCCTGTTTCTAACGCTGTAAATTGTACATCCAGTATGTATGCCGTTAGTGAAACCGTAAAGTCATGATATCCCTTCCAAAAAGTTTGGGTACCAAAAACTCGTAAGATGAACTCCATGGAAACATGCTCATGTTCCACCCTTTACTCTGCATCGTTGGATTCGCAATTTCTTACTGTTCACAAGAAAGTATCAAGTTTTTACATTGCCCAACAACTGCAATACAAACTCAAGCTTCAGACACAGCTGAATGCATCTAAAAGCATACTACTAACTACAGATTTGTGGATTTTTTCCCTACCTCTCTTAAAAGATAAACCCAGACACCAAAAATGGAAAGTTTCAAGCTTGAGAAGTGTAACACTCATGAAGCTAAGCTTCTTTCATCCATCTTGGAGAGCTGACTACTTACAGATTTGGCAGTTGCAGAAATGTATTGGACAACCATCTCCCGTTTTGTGGTCAAGTCTTTGTCTCTCAAAGGAGCTTTACGTTCTTCATTTAGATTCATGTCTTCCTGTAAAGAAACAGACACACAACATCAGGACTCTTCTTCGTGCTTTTTACTAGTCTTTGTTATTTTTATACTCCTTTTCTTAAACAAACAGTTCATTTTTAAACAAACAGAAGTGACTTTTTCCAGCTCATCTGTGTTTCAGTTTGTTTAATTCTGAGTTACTCACTTTTCTCATTTATGTCTGTTACTTCAAGTGTTTGCTGTTTTCAAGACTCAGCCTAAATTATAATTGCATCAAAGGTAGTTACCGTTAGTGAAATTTGGCTCATGAAATAAAACTAGAGGGCAGGACCAAAAATTCTACACCTCAAGTTCATCATGTGTTAACTCTTGTGAAGTTCCTGTGTTTCTGATAAAATCTCATCACAACAGACACTACTCCTGTACTACCTAATCAGAAGGCTGTTATTACTTAGATCATCAGCTTGTGGCAGAGGTAGGTGTGAATATGTTCCAACTGATGTATTTAAAACAAACCTAAAAATAGAAATATTTTGCTAGACCAAATCTAAAGATGCCTGTTCCAACTTAATAACTGATTAAATACCACATTACTAGTCATGACTCGTCTTGCCAATAAAAGTCAAAGTAACTTCAGATTAACAACTACGACCAGTAAATATTATTGTAACAACTTACTAGCGAACGGCTTTTTCAAAGAATCTGTCTGGGAGACAGAACTATTATGTGCTTCAATTAACATTACTTGGAAAAGTTAAAAATTAATTCCTTAATCTAACAAGCAAATCAAGCAAGCATTAATTAACACTGATCCAATCTATCAGAAGAGATTCACAGCTTCACTGAACAGGACAGTTCTTCGACCATACTGTGGAATTTTACAACAACTTTGAAGAATGATACAAAAAAATGCATTTCCAACAACATTGAAAGCGTCCCATTTCCCTATAGTTCATGTATCAGCACCAATGTGCATGGCAGAATTAATACACGTCTACTTCAAAAGTTGGCTTCTGTATTACTAATAGAAAAGCTTGCTTGTAAAGGGAATCACAGACCTCGACATGTGACACTAACACAGAAAATATGCAAGACGACACAAAAATTCAGCTTTTTATACATTAAGATTTTATTAAAGGAAATGACTATTTTCCAAAGGTATTTACTTAAGTTTATTAAAAACTACCCTCTAACAGTAGTATCTAACTACTGTAACTAAGGTCTCTAGAGCTTATCTTAATGAAGTATTCAACAGGTTAATATTTTTACTTTTGGCTTTTTGTCTTTGTTTTCTCTGTAGAATTAGACCAAATAACTTAAACATATATGCCACTAGCGTTCTATAAGTTACTAAATTGTTCATGTGCCAATTTAGAAAGGTCTATCAGGCCTATGCAATGCCCTCCCAAGTAGTCAATATTTCCAAAATGACAACGTTTGAAAATCACTACTACATAATAAATGCCAACATGAAAGCAAATTAAAACCTTATAAAACCATGTAGCACATCATCTTACCATCATTTTTTCAAAGAGATCCATGACTTCTTTTTCTGATAAGTTCATGCAACGCTCATCAACAAGTGTCTGGGCAAGCGGGATTTCACTTATAGAAGGTTGAGAGTCAATTGGATGCTGAATGAGAGGTTTCTCTTTTTTCACTGCCGATTTTCTGAAGCTTGTTATTCTGTCACGCTGCAAAAACATCCATTTAAAAATAAGCCAAAACAGAAATATAGGAAAGCAGCCATTTACATGGCAGTAATACACACATTTTTTAGTTAATCCAAGCAGCAGAGTTAAAACTCAAACTGAACTGTAAGTAAAAATACTCTGACATTCAGAGATTACTTCTCATAGTAAGACAAAAACATCTAAGGCAAATTCATGACAAGTCACATGCAAAAGGGATATAACTATGTCTCACAGTTTCCAAAGTATACCATCAATGTTAAACTCTTAGCATTTCAAAATCTTGAGTTCACCTGCTCACATTACTCCCTAATTATCCTGATAGTGAATAAATATGGTACCACAAAGGTAATGTCCAAGCGTTCCTTCACCTGAAGAGCTATAAGTCTTTGGAGGACAACTGACAAAGCCAGCGTTGGGAAGGAGGTACTCACAAGTTCATCGGGCTTATAAAAAAATCCTGCTAAAGTAAAATAAAGTTTGTAGAGGAATTAATGCTCCAATTATAGTTCACAATTCCTTGAAGTGTTTTTGAGTATGGACTCCTGAAATTAGTGCATAATTTTAAAAAGCCAGGTAATGGATTACTCACACAGAAGCAGCCATCCATAGTTAAATACACGGAACAGACATTAGTGAAAGCATATCATACAGTCTGCAACACGTTTCACTGGTTAAGGCTAACTTGGTTTATACCTTCTACCAAACCCCCACCTCTTTTTTTTTTCTTTTTTAAAGCATGCTTACTCAGTTAATTTGTTAATACTGGAAACAACCAACAGAAGCACCTTCCTTATAAGGCCATTTATTACTGTACTATTAAAATATAACTCTGCTCTCAATAGAGGAAATTTTTTTTTTATTTAATAATACTGTCTTTAAAATATATAGATGTATGTTCATTCTGAGAACATTATGTCCACAGAGATTTTTCTAAATTGTTTGCATCAACAAATACCAGTGTATTTGTTCCAGGCACTGAACAGCCTTATGAAGACGTGCTTTCATCTACCAGCAGCTTATGTAGGGTTACCAGTGTCATCGATAGCAGTTATCACAATCTCTAGAAAGACATGTACACGAAAATTTGTATTTTCTATAATTAAACCTCCATCAAGCGTGAAAAGTTTAACGGATTGTTTCATTTATGGGAAATTTCATTTTAGATTAGTCCAGTCAGTCAGGAGTGCATAAATTCGACCAAGTGCTGTGGAACATGAGGAAGAAAGTTTATATTTTTGTTGTTGTTTGATTTCTTTTTGTTTGTTTGTTTTGCTGTTGGGTTTGTTTTACTGTTGTTTTTTGAGATCCTACAAGAGTATCTTAAATTTCTGAAGGTAAAGTATCCCTAGATAAGCTGCATGCCCTCTGAATTTATTTGGAGATATTTTTGTTTGTGTTTTTAAGGGGAGGGAGGTTAGGTTTGGGTTTTCTTCTTCCTTAGAGGTCTTATATTTGTGGACAGAAACACATTACATACAAGGATACTGTTAATGTCTTTAACAAGGTAAGAACTTTACTTTAATCCCATTTTTTCCTTATTAAAATAGTTCACATTTACATTTTCTGAAACTAAAATCGAGGCATAGCCTATTGAAAAGGCCAAAGATACGACATAATGACTGAAAGGCAGCATCCAAAATCAGCCAATACACATCAAATGCAGTTTTACTCTTCATTTACATTAAAATGCCCATTCAGCAGTCACCAAAAAAAAAGAAAAGCCACTTAAGATCAATTTCACCACACTGTAATCTGTTTCAAGTATAACTTATTAACAACAACTGTTTTAGTCAGGTTGCAATTGTGAGATCACTTTAAAGCCATAAATTAATCTTCTATGTGATTACTAGCTACCATTTCTTAATTTCAGACATGCAAGTGATGATCAAATAAGTGGCCAGTGTGGGTTAACTATTATACACAGAAAATACAAGTTCATCATTTTACTGAAATCAATTTTGATATGTATCTGTAAAAATACGTTGCAGCAGTTTCAAAGTATTCAGAATTACGAAGTCAGTGCTACTGAATACAAACTCGTTTTTTGACATACAATACATAGCTATTATCCAAAGTGGTTTCACTTGAAATATGTGGCAACTAACTTGGAAGAACCACTGCAGATCCTTTACTGCTAAAAAGAAGGTCAAGAGAAATAAGACTTGAACTGTTGAATAACAGTTTCAACATATCCACAGTATTACTTAAGTATTTAGGATGTGGTTAAAGAAGCTTCTCCAAATAGATACCATTAATTACTCTCCTTCAACTTTAGTTACAGATTAAGATCTTAAGGAATAGCAATCCAATTTTTCATTCAGAAAATTCAGAAACATGAATTTTCTGAAATCTAATACTTAATATCCTTATAAGAACATGTTACATTGTCCACAACATTTTAAAAGTAAAATAGCATGCAGCGTGGAGTTACCATTGCAAAGTAAGATGTTACAAAGACCTTACCACATCATCTGCCAAAGTTTTTATTTGAATATTCTATTAAAAAAAAAAAACAACACACACAAATCAAGAAAAAAAGGCAATGTTACCTACTGTTTCAGAATAAAGTTGTCTTTATTTCATGTTTTCTAACATTAAAACGCACTTGACATTTCAATAAGTGTTTTAACAAAACTGCAGCTGAATGAGCATGGACTCTGCTGTGTTTTACATGGAAAAGTAGGCTTGCATCACGTTTCACCTTGGCTTTTGTCTGTGCAACTCATGTACCTGAAACTTACAGCTCTAGCACCCCATTATTTCAGAAAAATGCAGCAAGTTCTCCTAGAAAGCTTCCCAAAACAGACATGGACTACTGAACCTCAAACCAAGTCAGCAGATAGCTACATGGCATTCTCAGTCTTGACAGAGTCGTTGAGACTCAGAGAGTTGAGTACTTCCTGCGCCCTAGCTTCTGGAGCCTTCTGCAACTTCTCCTTAACATCGAGTAATGTGAATTGATAGATGAACTGATTAAAGCCAGTGTACTGATGATGCACAGACCAGTCACTACTATCTCTTCCTCCCCAGGGAGTCACTACTCCTAGTAGTAGTGTGAGTCCCAGTCACTACTATATCTTCTCCTTAAAACTTTTTTTTTGGGGGGGTAGGGTGAGGTGGAAATTCAAGAAAAAAAGAACTGCTGTATATGAAGAAGCATCTTATTTGATCCACAACAACACAGCCCCACAAGTCATCAGATAGGAAACAGTGACCCTATTCTCTCCAACAGCAAGGTTTCAGATTCCTTGGTGATGTCCTCATGGGCCGAAATGATGAAGGTGCTTCTATTCAAAATCCCACAGCACCATGTATTGTTAACACAATGGGGGAGTTCAGCATTACTGGAAATGAACCTCTAGCTGTTCAGCATACACCACACAGCTTGGTGGAAGATATCAATGCAACATGCTCCTTCTACCTTCTCTTGGCTACAGCTGTCACTACTGGAAGGAGGGGCAACAAGTCCATGCTTTAGATGAGCATTCAGAGATATGCAGGACAATGTGGTGGATCAACCCTGGCTGGCACTTGCTCATTTTCTGACAGGGGGATCAGAAGTGCAAAAACAAGAAAAACTCATTGGTTGAGATAAAGGAAGTTTAACAAGTGAAGGAGAAAATGGGTAACGAACCAGAGGATGTAAAAGCCATCACTCGCCACCAGCAGATCAAGACCTACTCAGCCTCTAACCAACTGCTGCTTTGCAAAAACACTCCACCTCCCCATGCCGCCACTCCTAGTTTTATCACGGAGCATGATGTTTTCTGGTATGGAGTCTTTCTTTGGTCAGTTTGGATCAGCTCTCCTGGCTGATCCTCCCAGCCTCCGGCCCACCCCATCATGCTCCTGGGGAGGGCACACTAAGAAACAGTAAGCCTTGACACTGGCTAAGCACTGGTTTAACACTGGTGTTAAACCAACACTGGTTTATTCACAAATCTAGAACATAGCACCATATGGGATGGGCAGCTATTAAGAAAACTGTCTCCATCCCAGCCTGACCCAGTGCAGACAGCTGTGATAAAAATCTTTTTCTCTTACTACTCCAGATGTTGACACCAACCATTCACCTTCCTAACTGCTCTACCTCAAACCTCTTCCTTACAGCTGCATCTCTCATGTATTTTCATTACCTGGACTTAGTACGGAGTTAAAAGAGGAAGTAATACTCTAATCTTGAAATCAAAACTAAGATGTCCTTGCTCTAGTAAACAGACTTTTTATTTTAAATGCAGATTATTGAGCAAGAAGGCCAAATGAAGTAAGGCCTGACTACGACTTCAACCCAGAGACAGCTAGGTAAGCAAGAAGTTGTAAAACTCTGTATCCGTTTTAGCAGTCACTTGTACTAGAAATAGTTTTTTTTTCCCCTTCTCATTTAAGTACTGTCAATCTCTCTCAGAACCTGGAACAGGATAATCAACTCCATCTCTACATTTATATTGCATTTGTCACTTAAACTCCTCTGGGCAAAATACATAATACTAAAGCAAGACAGCACACGGCATTTTTTCAGACATCTCAAGCTCACTTCCCAGATCTCCTTATGGTGCATAAGCCATACTGCTGCCAGCAGCTACTCAAGATAAGCAACACATTTAGCAGGTAGAAGAGAAACTGCAAGTAGCTGGAGGCAGAGGCAAGGTAGTTATGTACCTGCAGGTCCTCATTGAGACACAATTTTGACAGTCTCTTATGCTAACAAAGAAGTCACGCTTCCAGTTACATTCAAGAACATAAACCACAAGTAGTTTACCTCCCGGGAGGAAGTTTAAGATATTGCAGTGTTTGCAGTCAGACCTCTAGCATTAGTCTTTAACCTATCTATAAGACAGCCAGAGCATCCCAAGACAAAATAAACCCTTTCCTAGCTTCATGGAGACACTAACTCCCAAATTTTAGAAGCAGCCCAAAGGCAAAGGTTTTGCAAAAATCTCTATGGGAAAACATTTGCAGATAAGGGACAGCGAATTAATATTTATATCTACAAACACACATACCATTTAAGACAGCAGCATATTATCTCTCTCTCCTAGCTTTTAATATCAACACAAACCATGGAACTTCATCAACTGCTATACCAAAGAACTATTTCCTACTGATTGACTTAGTCCTTCACTTAGAAGATTTAAGTGGCAGTTTCTCTCTTTCAAACATAGTCTTTCCAGTCCATCAATAGCTAAAAGTATCACTTTCTATTTACTCCTCTCAATTTTAGTTCCCTGTAAGTATCCTACTACTTGCATAAATACTGACAGATCATGACAGTAAGGCACACAAAAATCACAGCAAATACTAATGTAACTGCACCACATCATTGTTTTATCCTAAAAGGTCCATCTCAGCCGTGTTAAATTCAGAGTCATTGAAATCTTGCATATAAAAAACAGTAGATAGATTTTCACCATAGTTCACTACATTTATTGGTATAAAAATCACTATTTCTTCATCCAAGCTCAGTTCAGGCTACTGCAGTAACAATGCCAACATTCAAAGAACTAAACGACTCGAGATTATTGCATTAACTTTTAACGCAAAACTCGCAGCAAGTCTACTTTTTTTGAATCTTCTTCTAACTTATGTATTAATAAAACCTTCCAGATCACTTGAGCTGGCCATGAGTTGTAAATTAAGGTGCGTTTACATGAGTTAATTGAACTTTCCATTATATTTAAGTATTACTTTGCCACGTTCTTCAACGTTACACTCAAGACTCTCACTTTCACCACAAAAATAAAATCAAAACCAATTCACAGTTTACCATACGTATAATGAAACAACAATCATCTGGATAACTTCTAAATCTAACTGCAATTTTCACTCCACTGCACAGAACAAATCAGGCAAATGGTGGCATGCTGCAATACCCGCTTCTGCACACTGGCTACAACGTCGGTAACAGCTCCGACTGCTAGCAACCCTAACTTTCCAAGAGTAACAAACAGAAACATTCTGCTAAGTTTCTTGTGTTTAAACTAAGATGATACGACTGTTTTCTAAAATTTACCCGGACTACAACACCTGCAAAAGACTTTGTAAAACTCACTTCAAGGATAAGTGTTTTTTAAATGGCTGCAGATAAATGGGCATACAACCAGGAAGGGAATAACTTCCCATACGAGTACCTGAACCAAAGGAGTTCAAAGGAACAAAACCCAAAACTGGTTAATATCTGAAGTACAAAACATTGTGTGCAATTTGAGTCTAGGTCTTTAAGTCACTAAAACAACTCACTCCTGCAACCTCTGTTCTTCAATACAGAGAATGAGTAACGTTCTCATTAGACAAATAAACCACCTGTTAATATATTCAATTTTGTAATTAAATGTAAAAAAGTACCTAGGAAATTGTGAAAAGATACTCAAGCCACATTAGTTGATATGCAGAAACTAGAATCACACACTCATTTAAGACTTTCAAGATCTTTATCCATGACAAAGTATACCTAGCAATAAAATTAGTAAAAATATAATTCACAAAAACGTTTGCTTTATAGTAATTTTTTTGGCACTTCAAGAAGCATTCACCGTGCTTTGTAAAAAAGCTCTACATTATTTTTGTAATCCATCAGGTGGAACAAAGACAGTTGAAACTAGCAAAACTAACAGTTTTGTTACTGTTGTTGCACATTTGCATTTCGTCTAGATGACACCAATGGAAAACTCCTGTTTGCTTCGCAGCTGTTCACAAAGTCCTTAAATACGTGTTGCTTAAATTATTACACCAAGGTTGATCTATAACCTGAGCATGAAGGCAAACATTCCCTGAGGCTCTACAAAGGGAGACCAAGGAGCTTGTGAACATCTTACGCCACGCTGTTAAAATGAAGCTGGAAAGTTATTCCCATTCTTCCCCAGGAGACTGACCATCCAGAAATGAGCAACACGAGGAAAAGAAGTTAGACAATTCCTCATGCTAAATAAAGCCAGAAGGTCACCCAAACTGGTAATCACTAACAGCAGAGGGCACTAATTCTTTAGTCACAGTGCTGAAAGATTGGGTGTCTCAGCACTGCTCCCAAACAGGGAGGAGGGGAAAACGGGCCAGAGACACATCCATCATGTTGGACACACCCTCACAAATGGCACTGATCCTCAAGGGATGAAGGAAAGGGGCACCTGCACACCGTGCCTCTGTGCCAGAGGAATAGAGAGACCCTATGGAGCAGTCTGATCTGACTGAAAACGGAGGTTGAGAGAAACCAAGACAGCTTCCTCATTTTTCTCTGATTTGGCAGAACACTATCATGCTCCAAAAGCAAATGGACTGTTCCAAAAACTGCATTTTCCCAGATGACTTCAAGGAAGCCTTTACCAAAAAGCAGATTGATTCAGGAGTTGAAAAAAAAAAATAACTGTAAACTAACTTAGCTAGCCTTAATTTCAACACTTTTGTAACTGAAGATAAAGTAGTTGAGGAAGACAATTCACCTAACATCTTCTTATTTTCTTTGTAGCTCAAATTGCCACTACTGTTTTGAAAAAGTTTGTTTCAGACAATTTATTGATGTCTATTGATAAGTAAACTTTAAAAATCAGAGTAAAATTAAAAGCTTATTCCAGAAGCTGCAGTTCCATGTCAGCCTAAGCCAACCAAACTGCAGGTTGTGAGACCAAGGGCAAGGGTGGCACCAGGACAGGGGGCAGTCAGAGCAGCTTAGACTACTGCAGAAACAATTCCAGAAAGCCTATTAGAAGAGGCAGTTTGCATGTTAGCCAGGGCAGAGGCAAATAAAGTAAATTTTCGTATTTTCCAGAGCTACTGCTAGGACTCTGAACATTTCCCATCAAGTCTGCACCAACCATATCAGGTAAGTTATCAGCATTACAGCAGCCCGGGAGCATTGGAGTTTACAGCAGTTACGCCACATGACTGGCGAGTTCTTTATACAGCCAGGATCTGTTCTTATTTTGACATCTAGTGATCATGCGAGACATTTCTCTTCGAGCATCTTGGGAAGATGTAACAGTACAGCATGCTTTTCAGTACAGGTGAACACTGTCTCTCTTCAGGATGCTTTACAGCTTTTAAATTCCTCACTTAAAACTATCAAGCAGCAGTTCACTAGTTAAAACTTTTACAAACTAGACTTCTGGAAGAGCCAAGTCATAATTCCATTCATAAATTTCACAACGAACAAGAACTGCACTACTGCTTTTATGAAGTGCACACTAGCTTATTAGCCTCAATATGCAGGTTTAATGTTCTAGGAGATATTAAGCTAATCAACATCTTTACAAAGGTTAAGAGACATGGCAACCTTGCCCTTATAACAAAGACTTAAAGCCTTTTATTTTAGTTTGAAGCTTCCATTTTTATTCAGTTTTAACTACTGGCTTTAACGATTTAGAAACATGTGTGACATTATATAATCATTAATCATCAAAAGGTTTTATGGGACACATCTTAGGAAAAAAAACCAACAACGAAAACCAACCAACCAAACAAAACCACACCAACCATGACCCACACAGGTAAGCAGATACAAAACTCCATGGCTACATGTCCTTAAGACCCCAAGAGGCATAACTAACAATCCTCCACTTCAGGAGTCTGGGCAATCTGGCAAATTGCCATAAAAGAAGTGTAGCAACAGAAACTGATACCAAGTTTCTGGATAAGAACTACAAGTGTTTTCAGGAAGACCTCACACCTTACATGCAGTGTCTCAATTGCACTAGAGCAGGTCAGTATTTGCAGAGAAAGGAAGAAGTCATATTTGACAA